ACCCGAAATGTTAACTCTGATTTCTCTCCATTTCGGGTTGAGTTTCTCTCTCTCAGATGCTGCCAGACTTGCTGAGCTTCTCCAGCTATTTCTGTTTTTGTTTCTGTACTAAGGCCCTCTCCTTAGACTTTCCTCCGATTAACACATCAACAAGGAAAAGATTGTCAAATATTTTCAGTGCATACCTGCACCACCGGTCTGGAGCAGGGTAGTGAAAAAAGCTGAATATCATTGGCAAGATAATTAGCTTGAGCATTATTAGTCATTTTATTCCACTGCCTAACTCCGTAAATGCACCAAGCAGTCAATGACTTTAGAACAATCTTAAAACAAAATAAAACAGTGCAATTGTTCAAAGAGAGCAAGAAGTTGTTGCTAATTACTGTTAATCTCTTGTCTATTCTTTTCTATTTGGCAGTACAAAGTAACAGGCAAATATTTCCACTTCAACAGCAAAGCCCCAAAGTGGAACAGTGTTTTCAATGTTGTTAGCAACTAACAAAAGAGAATTTTCTGACAGATTTATTGGCTCAAGAAGTCAGTTGATCTTGCAGCATTAATTGTGCTAATATTAAATTAGCTGCCTTTTTTTGCCAGAAGCTATTAAATTTGAAGTGGACCATACATTTCGAATACTACATTTACTAAACAAACTGAATGTTCGACTCAAGCTCCTGTTTCAGTTGATTTGATTTATTTCTCCAGGATCTTGAGGTGATGTCTATAAATATATAGTACAAGTTTTGCAGCAGTGCAAGTAGGAGTACAACTGCCTTACAGATGGATATCATGATCAAAGACTTAGGCACCTGAAGCCATTTCCTCAAGGTCATGCCCCCTACCCTTCTGTTATTCATCCAGAACTGACCACCTCCCCCCCACATTTGCCCAGCCCTCACCAACCCTTTCCCCACCCCTACAGCCACACTCAAATTGATCCTACTCCTCTGTTCCTTTGGGCTTTCCCTAGGCCTCCATTATTTACCCAGCACTAGCCCTACCCTCTCCTCCATTTGCCTATTCCTGGCCTCTTATGCCAGACCTACACCCACTTACCCAATCACTTAGCCCCTCCCTCTCCCCTCCCCCCCCCCCCCCCCAATGCTTAGGCCTTCCCCTCAGTTATTCAACCAGCCCTTCCTCCTCTCCTATACCACCACTCACTCAGCCCTTCCCCTTAACTATTGACCAACCCCAGACCCCTGCCATTCACAGCTATACCACTACCCTATTCACCCAGTCCCAACCCCTCCCCAATTCCCCTTAGTCCTTGCCACCCTCACCATCCTCCATATCTACCCACATTAGTCCCTCCCCACACACCCAGATCTCCCCCAAATTCCCTGTCCCTCTGCTTTCCCCTCCCCTTCTCAGACTCCCCCAATCCAACCGTTACTCACACACTCACCTTCCCACCCCTCCCTGATTCAAATCCAGGCCCCTCCCCACATCCCTCCACCCTAGCACCCCACCCCCTACTCCCGCCACCCCCAAGCCCCACCCCCTAGTCCAGCCACACACAAGCCCCACCCTCACTCAAGACCCTGGACAGGACACCCTGCCCCTTGGGAACCCTGCAGCCCAATGGTATCAATGTGGATTTCACAAGTTTCAAAATCTCCCCTCCCCCTACCGCATCCCAAAACCAGTCCAGCTCGTCCCTGCCTCCCTAACCTGTTCTTCCTCCCACCTATCCCCTTCTCCCACCTCAAGCTGCACCTCCATCTCCTACCGACCAACCTCATCCCGCCCCCTTGACCTGTCCGTCCTCCCTGGACTGACCTATCCCCTTCCTAACTCCCCACCTACACTCACCTTTACTGGCCCCATCCCCGCCTCTTCGACCTGTTTGTTTCCTCTCCTCTATCCATCTTCTATCCGCCTCCCACTCTCTCCCTATTTATTTCAGAACCCCCTTCCCCTCCCCCTTTTCTGATGAAGGGTCTACGCCCGAAACGTCAGCCTCTCTGCTCCTATGATGCTGCTTGGCCTGCTGTGTTCATCCAGCCCTACACCTTGTTGTCTCGGATTCTCCAGCATCTGCAGTTCCTACTATCTCTGCCCCTTCTCCATTCTTCTGCCCTTCCTCCACACCATCCTCGCCCATCCAATACCCCGCCTCTCCACCACCCCTACCCCCCAACTCACCCAGCACCGGTCCCCTTCCCGCTTCATCGATGCCCAGGCAGCAATCTTCAGTCCGACAGGCGGCGGGCACCTTTGATACCAGCCGGTAACTTTTACTGCTGTCCTCCTGAAACTCACTCAGGTCCATTGCAAAATTATAAAAGCGTACAAAAACAATTATAATAACAACCGCCAATCTTAAATAGAACAATGGCTGAGCTTTTAAATATCTCGACAGCAACCGCCAAACTAATCTCTCCCGCGCTCAGCGGCAACCTGCCCTTTGACCTCTGATCCCATCCTGAAGGCCACATCACTCAATTTTGTTTTTATTTTAAAAATCATGCTGTTGAAAGTTACAACAAGTTCAACACTGAGCATTTACAGAAAGTTTTATTTTTACAAATTTAAATTTGGATTTAGTTTGGTGTTCTGCCCGTTATTAACTGTGTCCTTTGGTGCGCATGTGCAGGTGTGCGCAAAGCCCCCCGGGAGTTGTAGTTTTAAAGACTCGGAACCAAATTTCGTGTTAAATAGTGCATAAAAACCGAAAGAACTGCGGATGCTGTAAATCAGGAACAAAAGCAGACGTTGCTGGAGAAGCTCAGCAGGTCTGAAGGAAAAAAATCAGAGTTAATGTTTCGGGTCCGGTGACCCTTCCTCTTAACTGATGGTAGGTGGGAAAACATTGGTTTATATGCAGAGGACTGGGAGGGCCATGGGGTAAGGAGTAAATAATAGGATAAAGGACAGAGCTCGAAGAGAGAGAATAGTTGGATAGACAAAGGAGTCGATAACGATCTGGTTGGGAGGGTGAATAGTTGTTAATGGGGACTGTCAGTGACTAACAATAGATAGTGTGTAATGGCAGGCTATGTGATAACAAGACCTGGTGTGTGGGGTAGGGGGCTGGGACATGGGAGATTTTAGGCCCTAACATGATTGAACTCAACATGGAGTTCGGAGAGCTGCAGGGTCCCCAAGCGGAAAATGAGGTGTTATTCTCCCAGCTTCTGCTGAGCTTTGCTGGAGCACTGCAGCAAGCCTGAGACAGAGATAGCAAGAACTGCAGATGCTGGAGTCAGAGACGACACAGTGTGGAGCTGGAGGAACACAGCAGGCCAGGCAGTATCAGAGGAGCAGGAAAGTTGACCTTTTGGATCGGGACCCTTCTTCAGAAATCATTCGACCTGAAATGTCAACTTTCCTGCTTCTCTGATGCTGCCTGCCTGGCCTTCTGTGTTCCTCCAGCTCCACACTGTTTTACATCTGAGACAGAGATGTCAGCCAGGGAACAGGGTGTTAGAGTGGCAGGCAACTGGAAGCACAGGGTCATTTTTGTGAGCAGAACATAAGGATGTTCTGTGAAGCGATCACCCAGTCTACACTTCATTTTGTGTTGTCTTTGTGTTAAATATTGAAATTGGAAATAGCCCTCCAACAATAAAAGAGCTTATGGGGCTCACATAATAATGCATTCAATATTGTATTGTGTTATATATATTTATATGCTATTAAGTGATGCTTTTTCATATCCAGGATTTGCCCTTCATCTCATTTTAAGATTACCAGTTTAGCATATCACTCAATGATTTCTCTGAACTTCAAATGTTCTTATGAATTATTCCACCTGAAATATTAGCCCAGATTCCCCTTTCAAATGCTGATGAGCCCGCTCTGCATTTCCGTTTCATTTCAGATTTTCAGCATATCGCTTTATTTTTATCTGCAATAAAATCAACTACCTCACAGTTACCATGGGAGCAACATGTCGGCCTATTCAGATGGATGTTGACTGAAGTGTCTTTACGCTGTTCAAAGAGCAGGAAGTGAGGCTCCCAGTGACTCAGCCAACATTTTCCTTAAACTGTATACCAATAAAATGCTAATTAACTGTTCATGCATTTGCTTTTTGTATTTCAGACTCGGCTATTCCAATGCTCTAGATGGTCAGCCATTTTCTACCATCCATAAATTTAAGTTTCATTGCTGCCCATATCCTAACTAATATGATGTTACATTCAATTGCTGGTTTTTATTACCATCCAAATTACTTGTTACTAAAAATGTTCATAATCACGCTCACCTCCCATCATGATCTCATTCCTTTGGATCTCTGCAACTGATTTAGACCTAATACCACTCCCTTACCCCACAATCCATCTATGCCTTTCACTCTTTTCCATCAACTGTTGATTCCTCAAACCCCATGCAATAGAATTCCGCCCCCCGCTCTCTGTGTCCTCACCTCTTCTTTAAGACAACCCTTAAAGCCTAGCTTTTGGTCACCTAGTGCAATATTTTGCTGATGAGGCTTGGTGTCCATGTTTTGTCCGATTGCACACATGTGAAACACTTTGAGATATTTTAAACATAATGCACCAAATAGATTCAAGATTTTGTAGGATATTACCAAGACAAAATAGCTGCCTAACTAATCACATTATCTGTCAAAAATAATTGTGTAAAGAGTTTTGAAACAATACAAAGTGGCAAAACACCCTACTCTGCTGCCTCTTATTTTCTACCTTTGAAACTGCATCAAAAGGTTTTTTTTTAATTCATTCACAGGATGTAGGCATAGCTGGCCAGGCCAATGTTTATTGCCCTTCCCTATTTGTCCAGAGAAGGTGGTGTTAAGTTGCCAGCAAACTGCTGCAATTCAAGGTGTGCAGATCCACCCACAATGCTGTTAGAGGGGAGTTCTAGGATTTTTGACCCAGCAACAGTGAAGGAAAGGCGATATAGCTCCAAATGAACCCTCTAACCTTATTTAACAAAGCAAACAGGATTTTTCATTTTCTTTCCAACAATGTCATACTGGTGATGAGAAAATACATAGCTTGTATTCCTTTAGAAATTAGAGGTCATAGAGTGCCATCAACTGGGGATCAAGCATCAAAACTTAACAGGTCCAACAGCAATCTGTTCTTCAGTCCAAAGAAGAGTTATATTGGACTCCAAATGTTAGAACTGTTTCCATCCCCACATATTCTGCTAGAACTCTTGAGTTTCTCCAACAGTTTTTGCTTTTGTTTAAGATTTCCAACGTCTGCAGTATTTTGATTTTATTTGATAATAAACCTGTTTGGCCACATCATGAATGCTTTTCTTGGCTATCATGTCCTGTGTTATGACTCATACACTTCTGACTCAGAGACAGGGACAATATGCACTGTGCGCATGATACCTGCTCCTTATGACAAATAACTGTGCACAAATTGACTGATCTGCTTCCCTGCATTACAACAATGATTGCACATCGAAAAGTGTGACTGTAAATTTCTTTGGGATTGTGAAAGGTCACAAGTAAGATTAAGCTATTTCCTTAAAAAATAATTATAAATAAAACTACGGCCTGGGTTTGTAGATAGACATTCTAACCCATACGGGCCCAATTCTTCAAGACTGTACTTCCTCTTTAAGTTAGTATTCCCTAACAATGCAAGCATGCTTCTTTACAACAAGAAACATACTAGCAGCTGTTGTTTCTCAAGTGTTTGCCACAATTCAGCAAGTATTCTGCTCATTGTCCCCGTATAACCACAGCTAGCACTATCTCTTTCACCACAGCCACCATCAAAATAGAAGAACAGTATATTCCGTTGGAATATTCTGAAGAAGGGTCCGGACCCGAAACGTCAACTTTCTTGCTCCTCTGATGCTGCCTGGCCTGCTGTGTTCCTCCAGCTCCGTACTGTGTTGTCTCAGTATATTCCTTTGGTTGTTCATAATAGGCAGAGTCCACACCATGCTCAACCAGTCCATGCTTGCACAACCCAAAAAACCGTATACTGTTAGATGTGCATGCACAACTGGACAACACTTGCTGATTAACTCCACGTGTTTTCATACTTATATGAACAATCAATATAAAATAGCCAGCTAAGTTTGTAAGATGGCTCACTTAACAGAAGCATTTGCATACGGGCCCACTCTCTACACACTAAAGGAATATGGTCAAGCCTTTTACCTTTTTTGAATTTCCCAGGAGCTTGAGGAAACTATAGTTCCTGTTTCTTTCTCCAAGCCAACATCAATCAGAATTGACTTGTCAACCAATCAGAATCCTTTTCTCCTAGAGTATAAACTGTTAATGATCATTTGAAATTGAGCATTCTTGCCTTTGTCCTGATGGGGGCAAGGCACAAAGCTTCAACAACAGAGTCTTTCTGTTCAGCAAGATGTAAAACCGCAGAAATTTCAACTGATGCAATAACCCCAGGCCAGACTGAAATCCCAATTTACCTTCCCTTCTGCAATTTGGTCTGCTGCCTGGATGGGACAAGTATACTACCTCAGTAGGATTGCATGGGTGCAGAATTGGGAAACTGTCATATTCCTGTGTACAATCCATCACTCACACCTGCCTTGTACGAATGTGAATAGCGCTCCAAGCCAAGGGCTGTCAGAGCCATCTGTCTCACACTGTTAACCTTCAGAAAGCTGATTGTCTTTTGTGGCTTTCAGTGTTTAAATTGCATCTTTAGATTTGCTTTTACATTTCCAAAAAATTTACATTTTTATATCGTGGCATATTGCATCCCTCCATAATATCCCACAACACTTTACGTGCAGTTATTGTTTCAAAGTTTGGGCATCATTATATTGGTTTTATTTCGCATGCAAGAAAGAATGTTGGCCAGGAGATTGGAGAATTCTTTGCTCAGCTCTGCCCTGAATCGCAGTGTGGGCTCTTTATGTTTTGCAGCCATGTGTATCACACAGTGTGCCAGTATCATTCTACTGGGGAAAGACAGGGAAAAAAAAAATCAGCTAGATGCCCTACTCCCAGTCAGCTCCAGCATAACAAGCTCAAGAGGCAGAATGACCCCTTTTTGAATTATGTCTCAGGTTTTACAAGCTGTGCACTCTCATCTCATCCATATCCTGACTTCACTGTGTGAAGTCTCACCACTAATTAAAGAGTAAAACATTTTACCTTCCCCTTCTACAAGTTTAATACCAGTATTTTAGTCAATGTCAAATATGAAAGACAAAAGATACACTTAAATCAGGCAATGGCAATTCACAATTTCAGGATGGAGGATCATAGAAAACTTTTAGCACACGAGGCCATTCAGCCCATTATATTTGTGCTGACTCTCCACAAATACAACTCAGTTACTCCCACTCCCTTATCCTTTCTGCATGGCCATTCAATTTCTTTTTCTTTTCGGCGCTTATCTGGTTTCCATTTGAAATCCAGGAGTGAATCTGCCTCCATCACACACCAAGACGTAGCATTCCAGATCTTACCCATTATACCACTGTAGTGATTGGAACAAAGGCCAGGTGATCTTATTGGCCCAGGGTTAACAGCCCCAATCAGGGAGCCCTGGCTGACAGATATAAACAGGAGATAGTGAGAACCAATGCTGGAGTCAGAGACAACACAGTGTGGAGCTGGAGGAACACAGCAGGCCAGGCAGCATCAGAGGAGCAGGAAAGTTGACGTTTTGGGTCGGGACCCTTCTTCAGAAATGGGGGAGGGGGAAGGGAGCTGGGAAATAAGTAGAGAGAGGAGGGGTG